ACAGTCTGATCTGTGATAGCTTTTGGCTCCAGATCCAAGGCCTTCTCATTATTGCTATTGTTCTCTTGCCTCTTCCAATGCGTCTTTGAATATTTGTAACCTAGTTCAATTTCTTCATCCTCCTCTAACTTAAATGCCCGCTTCTTTGCTTTTCTAGCTGATAAATGAGTACTGTCACCATTACTAACTACTATAGAATTCTCAGCAACTCCTCTCTCTTCTAATTTAACTCTGTCAAAAGAACAAGAGAGAAAGCTAGAGTGAGCAATTCGCAAGCATGTCTACAGGACATAGTTACATACTGAGACGATTCTGCAAACTGTCACTACCATCAGTCAATAAAAAAACTCATACCATCACAGAATATACAAAAGCATGAAACTAGTTATTTTGGTCTACTCCAACAACATTATGTATCTTTGGGAACAGAGACTACGTTTTCTTCTGTAGCTCTGAAGAAAAGTGAATTTGTCAAGGAAAGATGGAATGATTATGGGCATTAAACAACAAAAAGAAAACTTTTCCAAATTCAGTTTTACCTAAGGTCTGCCCCATTTACCATGGAAGCCAACTGCAGAGGTTATTTCTTGCCATATGTAATGTGCATGTGAAGCATTTAGGACGAAGTTACCTGTCATTGTGCTGTAATTATTACAGCAGTTTTCATTTGTTTTTGACATTGTTAACTTCATTAGAAAGACTGTAATTCCTTGAGAATGACATTAAGGGGAGTTAAAATTAAAAAAAAAAAAAGAATGTAATTCCCAAATGATTTATTCATTGAAGTATAACTGTGGTTAGCTAGCAGCAAGTTTTTAACTCATTAGGGAGGGGACAGTGCAGAAAGTAAACTTAATAGGAGGGGATACAGTCCTTACAATTGTAATATTTAAATAATCCCTAAATTGCAGAGAGAATAGAGACCTATTTCACAGTTAATAAAAAGGGAAAAGAATTTTTTGAAATTTGGATTATTTCAAGTTGGATTATTTCAAGTTGTCATTTGAAAGAGTAGAACATTATTAATAAATTATACTTTTTCTGATTTGAGAGAGAGACTCAAAGATGTAGTCACTGTTTCAAACCAAAATCTTATGAATCTGACATGCTTTGGGGAAAGGAATATTCAACAACTAAGGGCAAGCAAGGGAAACCAGCACAACTCTGGAATTAATTCACTGTAGCTGAAGCTTAAGGAAAAAAAGAAAGAAAGCCTCAGTATGAATCTGAACTGGAATGATCACATCTCACCATCTTACTGAGACAACTAACATATCGGTAATTCATACTATTAATACAATTGCTCCTGGATACTTACCTCAGGATCACTTTTTTTAATTTCCCAAAGCATATTTAAAATTATTTTGTGTTTCCCAATTCACAGCCCAAAAGGACCCAAACAGCTATTTGAGTGAACCCCAAAACACCCAGGTGAGACACAGAACGATACCCACCAGAAGTCTCAGGGGATACCGGGCACAAGAGAACTGAGGCTGGACAACGCGCACGTTCTGTGGAAACACGATTCCGCTCTGTCAGCCTGAGTCTCCCCCACCCTGACCCTGAAAGCCGCCAAGCGGTAAGGCCAGGTCTCCACACATCTGCACCGTGCGCATGGAACACAGTAATACCGTGCCTAGCTAAGTGAAGATTTGTTAAAACACGGCTGGAAGAAACATGGGCCCCGCCTGTACCCCTCAGTTTGTTCAGGTTTGGGCCACCTGTAATTAGAAGCATCCCGGGGAAGGACGCTCGTTACAATACAGATCCTTGAGCCCGGTACTCGACTAGACCAGCCAGGATCCCCGGGGTTCACGAAAGTGCATTTTTACAGTCGCTCCCCTCTCCTCCCCACGCCGCGCCTCCTCCCCGACGCGGTCTCGCTGACTGCGGCGCCCCCGGGCGTGCGCAGGCGCGTCCCCGGCCCCCTGCCCGCACCGCGCGCACCTGAGGCAATCGTTGTCTCTCACCAGGCGCGCGCTCTCGGCGGGGGGCAAGAGCCCCCCTTCCAGGTAGAGGCCTAGGATGGCCCCAGAGCTGAAGCCGAAGCGCTGGCGGATAAGACTAATGAGATCCGTGACAACTCGGCATCTGTTCAAGTCGACCAGAAGCCAGAAGACCGTGCAGTGCGGGGTGGCCGGCGGCGGGTAATCAAATTGAAGCCGTAGCCTAACCGTCTCGGAGGCTGCCATCTTGCTCGGTGCTCAACGGAAGCCGAGAGATACCACGGGGCTACGGAGAGGCGTGCTCGGGCGGCCCGCCCCCCGGCGCCGGGAACGTCTGCCACCTATAGGTGGGAAGCGGCTACTACAGGCCTCGTCAATGGCGAGAACTCGGAGCGTGGTTGATTCCACTCAATTTTGTTCACGGCAGGAATAGGGAAGA